GCCCGGCCCATCACAACTATGCATAAAACAAACATCTACAAATTTATATAACGTTTGTTTTGTATATAATGAGAAGTGAAGACCGCTGGTAGAAGTATTCAAATGGAAAAATACTTGGAACAAAGGTAAAGCCTAAAGATATGTGTTGAAGCAACAGGAATTTCATTTTTTCTAACAAGGTGGTCCTAGCGAAAAACTCTTGAACATAGTGTATGGAGATACTGTATCCTATATTACCGGTATTCAAATAATTTGGCAATGTAAACCAAGAACTCCAAGCAGTAAAAAAACTCTTTCAGGATAAAGTAAAAACTCCAGAGAACCTCAATGAAAAAATTTAACTACGATAAAAAAGATGCAAAAAAATAAAACTGGAACTTCAATTGGTCATAACAAAGCTAAATTGAAAGCCTTTCACCGGGATCAGCCTCATACTATCGTTGTGTACAAAACTTCAAAGGTTTGATTGTCCCAAGAAAACTCATCAGAATATGTATGATGTGGTAATGAATGGAAGGGCGACGCAACACTCAAAACTGCCGCCCTTGGAGTCGCCGACCATCAAAATGGTGACGCAACTTTGTCCATAGAGGAAGGGTTGAGAAATTTAAAAAAAAAGAGAATAATTCATAATCCAGAATACAATAAGAGATAAAAATGAAAGAACGGTGTCCAAATATGATAATATTGTGAAAAACAGGAAAAAAATATTGCCCGATGCAGAAATCGAACTAGTGATCTTCAGGTTACAGGACAGACGCTCTACCACTGAGCCAATAAGGCGGCTAAACGAACAGATATGAAGCGAGTAGGCAAGCTCATGGAAAGTGGGCAGCGTCAGAGTAACAGAGGAAAGAGGACACGCCAAACCGGGTCTGAGCAGACAAATTTGATCATTAGCAGACCAAATCAAACCTAAGCAGACTGAATCGATCCAAACAGGCCTGATCAGGCCTAAGCGGACCAATCGGACGTTAGCGAACCAGATCAAGGTTATGAAAATTTGATCAGGGAAAAACGACTGAGGTTTCAATACTCTTAAATGATTTTCACTAATCTTTCTCCTATAATTTCTTCCAATTAATAATCCGATATCTAACAAAACCATTTATAAAAAAAAACAAGACTTTCCATCAAAATGAATTTTTCCTCTTTCTTATCAGCATCACCTCTACTGCTTCTCCAATTCCGCACTTTACTCTCCATTATCTAGGTAGTTTTATTGCCTTTTTTCAATCATATTTTATTACTTCTTATCACTTCAACGACTTCATTCCTCTTATTTTTGCTGTTGTTTTATTACAGACAACATTGTGAAAAAGAGGAAAAAAAAATCGGTGCCTCACGCCGGAATCGAACCAGCGACCTTCTGTTTACGAGACAGACGCTCTGTCAATGAGTCAATAAAGCAGCAAGTAGGACAGGTATGAAGAGAATAGGCAAGCGGGCAGCGCCAGAGTAACAAAAGAAATAAGTCTGATGAAGGCAAGCCAAATCGAGTCTGAGCAGACAAAATTGTGCCGGAGAAACCAGGGTCTCAATAGTTATGTTACAAAAACTGATAGGATGTAGGAGGAAAAACAGTTGAATGTTTTTTATTCCTTCTAAGTCAAACTTTCACCAGAAAACTCTCTTCAAAGGCTGAGTATTAGTTTCAAATCTTTTCAGAATTGGAGAAAAAAGAAACATTTGTTGAACACTGAAAGCCATACTAGTTTGCTATATACATGTTTTATGAATTCAAAAAATTAACATGTAATTATACAACCAAAAAATTCATAACAAATTGAAGGAAACAAAACAGTGAAAAAAGGGAAACAATTCACAGCAATAATAGCGACGGATAGAGGGAACCGAGAAACTGAGAAATAGAACTAGGTATTTGAAAAGAAAGATAAAGGTAATTGAGCTATATTCTGAATGACGACGGGACCTCAGGAGCACTTTGGCAGAAAGCCAATCGAGGAGAACTCAAGAGAATGGGAGAACATCTGGAGGTCTTGATTGTTCACAGGGTGCCGAGTGTTGAGAAGCATCTGTAAATCAGGAAAATCATAACAAGTTAGAAATTGCGTCTGGAATGAAGCCATAATTGATTATTTCGAAGAAAGTTGAGTTATCGATTTCTTGAATCAGGTTTTGGAATAACATTATCCTTGAAATTGAAAAAAAGCAGTTCAAACACCCTAATCTGTGCTCATGAAGTCATCCCTAATAATTCGGAGAAATTATCAAAAAAAAATCAAAGGTGTCTTAAAATCTCCGGACAGGCTGAAAACCTTCATAGAGCTCAAGGCAACAAGTTCAACTTAAAAACCGGAACCCCTGTACATAAGTCCCCACTTTTGTGTGCGAACCTAAACTAAGGCTTTTATTTTGCTTCCTAAATTCACTAATCATATTTCTATTGGCAGCTTGTCATCACGTTAGTAATTTTCCTGTGTAAGCAAGTTGGAGAAAAATGAGTTCTTTGATTTTTCCCAGTAAAACCACATAACAAAACTAAACAAACTCACTATTCAAAAGGATGCATGTGTGCAGTTGAAGATAGAGCAAAACAAGTAGAAGTTTTAAGAAAGTGGGAAGGCGGGCAAAATAATGTTGCCGTGTAACACACAAGGAGCAAATATTGATTATCTGAATCCATTAGAAATTGATAACTCATCGAAAAAAACATTATCAATAAACTCACTGATACGATATGAAATTTCTGATAGGGTGAGAGTATGGTGAAAATAGGGTAAGAGTGGTGCAGATTACTATCTGAAATTGAATTAATATTTGAAAGAAAGCGTTTCTCGCACATACCCGAACTGACGATTTTTTCTCCATGAGTCATCTTTCAACTGCTTACTTTCCACATCCGTCTGTTCTGGACTCCTCTAATCTTTTACCCGGCTTTCCAAACTCATCTCTGCTGGTCTCATGTCTTCTGGACTCCTCTCTTTGGAACTGTTTTCTTCTGATTTCGTCTCTTTCCAATTCCTCTTTTTCCCGCTTTTGTCTCTCGATCTCCTCTTTCCTCAACTCCTCCTCTTTCGATTTCACCTTCTTTTCCAGCTCATGAAGCACGACAGCATCCATCGCCGCATAACAAATCTGGTCGTGGGTAAGAAGAGGAGCTGTCCAGTCCGACATCGTCTCATCCTTGTGCAGGTTGATGTTGAGTGGATATTCGGCTACCGCATCCTTCAATGACTGGAGTCTTTCGGATTTCTTACCAGTTTCTGCGTTCCACTCTTTCTTCACACAGAAATATTGCAAATCCAAGAAGGAAAGTTTCCAGACTCTGATCTCGACGAAAGTATTTTTTCGTCATCGAAGGTGTCAAAATAGCGCTGTAGACCACGGAGAGCTTCGCGAACATCCTCCATCTCTTTATCATTGAAACGGTGAACGCGAAAAAGAAGAACAGTGTCGGTATATATATAAGGTAGAACGTATCCACTTCATTTGGCTTTTGTTTGTTTTACGATGGAAATTGAAGGTCAATGCAGGTATTGTTCAAATTGAAGGGGATTTTGACTTAGGTTTCACTTCAACTGGTAAGATATTGGAATTGGATCGATTAAAACTCTTTGCAGTTGACCGGCTTTCAAAAAATCTCTAAAGCAGCCTTCATACAAAACTTGAAACAGACAATACTGAATGTATCACGATAATCTGTACTATGTTAAAACATGACAAAAATGTTTATACACGTCCGTTTTTTTTTTGTTCGAAATAATACTGAAAATTTTTTTTTTAATAATACTGAAAAAAAATGTTAGAAACGAAGGTACAAATCAACATTCTCGGGGAAAAATTGGTGTTCATTCGAAATGTTCCTTGGGTAGAAAACTATTTACATCGTTTGATATAAGATTTGAACTCTTTGGAGAATTTGAAGAAAAAAGGAATTCATTGAAAGCTAGAAGTCAGACTGATTTGTTATTTCACAAACATCGAACGATTGTAGTAGAATTACCATAATTGACAAAACCATATGATAAACATCCGATTTTAAACGTTGGCAAAACAAAAAATGAAGAGCAAAAACCATTTTCCGATAGTTTTCGCCGATATCCAACAAAGTACTGAAGCGATCAATTTTCAAACTGAAAGAAGAAAAGAAAACCAGAATTGAATTTTTATGATTCAACATTTATGTTTCTGGAAATAGAGACTATAAAAAACAAAAGGATTTCAACAATGCAACTTGTATGAAAACACAAGAAACAAAAACGAAGCAAAACAAAAAGTTTCGCTCCCGGGTGGGCTCGAACCACCAACCTTTCGGTTAACAGCCGAACGCGCTGCCTATTGCGCCACGGAAGCGGACGCGGCAACGGGTGAGTGTGAAGAAGAGAAAGAGAAACGGGATAAAGCGTACAAGAGATAGAAAAAGTAGAAGGAGCGAGTGAATGTGTCTCTTCAGTGTTTGTGGAGGGAGAGGAGAAAATAGCTGAAAACAACTGAAGATTTCAATTATATTCGATTCAAAGTTTCACTCTTGCTGGCTTTGGAACTGATTAGTGTCTAGGCTCCAGAAAACTTGGATGTTCAGGTCCAAATTTTTTGAAGAGACCATTGAAACTGAAAATCTGAAAATGCCCAAAACCTAACCCTGATTATAATCATTCTAGCCGTCTTGAATTGGAGGTTCTAAAAATGATGATTATATCGAGATTCCCAGTCAGCCGACTGGAATATGACACTACCGTAACCCTATCATTCAAATTTTCTGATAATACGAGAGTAAAAGACTTCATTCCTCCGAACACCGATAGCATATGTGGAAACCTAAGCCCAATATTAACCGGAAAACGGTAGTTTCAATCGAATGTTTTCTATTCCTACCATAACATGACTGGTGTTACACCAAAACACGGAAATGTTGAACTTTTGGGATCACTGTAGCACTATGAATACAATAGGCATGAAAAATTCAAAAAAACTTCTCTCTGAATTCAAAGATTCCCAATTGTCCGATATTTATTCGGCTGATCTCATTTTCCTTTGAGATCAGCTCGAGAAAACACCGTACAACATAGGAAATCCGAAAAATAACTGAGAACTGTCTTATAATTGATGTAAATAGAGAGCAGGTTTTATACTTCTGAATGCGACTCAGGCTCTCAAAGACTCCTACCTCCAATAAATCGAGCCTAAATAAGTCAGCGGAGCCCGGCGAATTTCCGCAGTCTGATTCTTGAGTCGATATGTCATGGCATATCTTTTTCTCTGTTTCTGATGAGATGATTGGTTTTTCGGGGAACTAGTTATCGTAAGTGTGACTCCCGAAGTTTTGGGTACCTCTACTAGAAGGGCATTTGGCCTTATTTGATAGATAAAGTCCGGCTGAAGTCTTTGAAGAAAATTGTTTTGAGATCTTTCTTGCCAAAGAATGAGTAATATCTGCTAATCGTATGATCTTTTATTAGATGTCTTCCCAGAATAATAGAGTTACTTTTTGTCATCTAGTGGTGTGTATTAATCATTGTTTTATTTGCTGTTTGTTAGGCTCAAATACAAAACAAATCTTCATTGTTTCATTTCCAGAAAAAACAGGAAAACAAATGGAGCTCCCTCATAAAATGATTCATCAAATTTAAAATAGGTCGTTGCTCGGTTGTTATAATGAATCAAGAAGACATTCTGTAATGATAATATTGAACATTTTGACTAGATGGATAGATGATAATCTTTGAACATGATTCGTCTCTAGCACCTCACCTTTGAAGTTCCCATTGTTTTTAGTGTATTTTAATAGAAAGAAAAATATCAAAATTTTGAATAATCAGAATAGGTAGGCGACGCAACAAACGGCCAGGGGAAATGGAAAGAATGAATATTCTAAGGATGCTCTCTGACAAAAATATAGATAAGAAATTGAGAGAAGCAAGAAACATCAAACAGAGAGAGTGTTGAGAAAGCAGTGCTAAGATGAGGAGACTGTGAAAAAAATATTTTATGTATGCGCAATTTTATCACCTACCGGTGAGAAACAAGAGAAGAGACTCGTTTTTTTCTTCGAAATGGTATATTATTTTCGTATAGTGGAAGAAACTCGTAAAATCTTTAATAGAACGTCATGTCTGCTGTATTCCATTGAGTTCGTTTAAGAAACACTTTTTTCAGTAGTCACTGGCACTTCGAGAAGAAAATCGTAGACTTTTCAATTTGTGTTATGTCTCCATAACCAGCCTAAAAACGTGGCCTTTCAGTGTCGTTCGAAATTCGTCCTTCGCTGAGATATTATCTGTCAATTATGTCATAAACGCCAAATTTCGTATACAACGACCGCGACAATGTGGTGCCGTAGAGGAATGGGTGTGCCATTATATAATGGTGGATAAGGCGGGTTTCTTATTTTGTAGCGGACACACTATTTGTGTTTAGGTATATTCTTATCGACTTACGGCACCTGT